CCGCCGCTCCCACCTGCCCCGACCCGCGCCGGCCATCGAGGCCGCGGTACCCGAGGCCCCGGCGCGGAGGGAGGGAGCGGAGCCCGGGGAGAGCCCCTGCCCGGACGGGCGCCCCACACCCCGGGGGGCTGCGGGGCTGGCGTAGAAAAACAAGCCGAGGGGCCCTGGCGCGGCGGCTGGGATCCTGGCAGTGCCCGCGGAAACCTTTCCAGCGAAGTAACATTTTCCAGCTGCGCTGTGTGCGCAAACTCCGGGCGCAGCGGACCAGGTGGAGGCGGAGGAGGAAGGGCGGTCCGCGCGCGGGGCTCCCCGCGCTCGCCGGAGCCTCCCCTCTCTCCCGTGCTCCGCCAGGTAGGAGATGGAGCCGTGCGCCCGGCGGCCGCTCCGCCTCCCGCGGTCAGCCTGGCCCCAGCAACCCCTTAGGATCCCCAATGCGCTCGGGCCGCAGGGTTCGTGGGGGCTCCTGGGTCCTGAGCCCACCTCGTGGAACAGTGGTCGGCTCACGCGAGGCAGCCACCTCCTCGGCCCTTGTGGCTTGTTAAGGGGGCTGCTGCCCCAGCCACCACCTCGGTCAGCTTCTAGTCTTTAGCGGGCAGTGGCTTGCAAACTGGCCTGTGTCAGGTGGGTTAGGAGCTCTGCCTGGGGCGTTAGGTGAATCTGAACTCTAGCTGAACTTGGAAGGGATTGTTGAAAGAGAGTGCCCATCCCATAGCCGACACTCGGTGGTCCTGGGCACATCAGAGCAGGCTTCCTGGAGGTGGGACAGGAACTGGTCTGAGGGAGGTAAAGGGAGCAAAGGCAGAGGCTAGAAAACTACAGGGAGGGGTGCGTTTCCCCAGGAATCAGTCAGGGGAGGAAGGATGAGAAGTGTGGTCTCAAGGGAGTCTCTAAGTTGGGATCTCAGAAGCCTGGAATGCCAAGAGAAGGAGTTCGGGACCAGTGAAGGAGCTGGAGGTCAGGGGAGGTGGCAAGGCACTTGAGGGGGACCAGGGTGGCATCTTTCCCGGGCATGGAGGGCAGCCACACCAGCCTCCTGGTTCAGCATAGCGCTTAGCCCAGTGGCCACCACATGGCGGAGGCTGGGATCAGAGAGACCAGCAGTAGGGCTGCGCCAGCCCAGGAGACTGTGGATCCCCTGCCAAGGGCCCTCGCTCCCAGAAATAAGGAGGAGTAACACACAAGAGATGGGGGTCTGGTCCGTGCTGATACCCACAGATGGGGGAGAGACGGTAGGAGCCTCCGTGGGCCTGGGTCAGGCCAGATATTTCAGGGATGCCATTTTGCCCTGTAGGGCCCTCTGTGCCTACGTGGTGCACAGGAATGTGACCTGCATTCTACAAGAGGGAGCAGAGAGCTACGTAAAGGCTGAATACCGGCAGTGTGGATGGGGGCCCAAGTGCCCTGGGATAGTCACGTGAGTGCACCCCCATTCCACCCACTTGGGATCCCTGGGCAGAACCTCCAGTCCTACCTTCTGCTCAGAGCAGCAGCCAACCCCACAACAACTCCAAAGAGCCCACCCAAGCCCCCACGTAGGCCAGAGTGGACCAGGGCCCCAGAAGGAGGGGGTCAGGGAGGACCCCAAGATTTTGAACTCGCAGCAGGGTATAAACCATGGAGACAGGGGAAGGCTCAAGTTGAAGCCCAGAAACTACAGGGGGACAAGGAGAGGGTCTTAAGGGGAGAAGCAGCACAGGCTAGGAGGAAGTGACAGAGGTAGAGGGTAGGGGGAGAGGAGAGAGCGGAAGGTCACTCAGGCAATGGTTGATGCCAAATGGGCCCTGGGCAGACCGCAGACCCAGGGAAGGTTGTGGTGACCCTGAGAAGGCCGGGCAAGGGAGGGGGGAAGCTGACTGCCAGGCTGCATGTGAGGACCTGAGGAGCTGCACACAAATTTAGTGCGTGGGTTTGCACTTGGAGAGGTGCAAACGTGTGTGTCTGGAAACAAACCTGCTTGCTCCAGATTGTCAGTGGCTGAACAGGTATGTGCTGAACAAGTGGGGGGTGCCTGTGGTGAACCCTGCCTGTACCCCTGGGACTTCCCCTCCCTGCTCAAAATTAGAGGTGCTCTTCTGCCAGCTTCTGACCACAGCAAAATTCTTGCAGTAGGCTGGAGAGGAGTGACAAGAATGAAGGGGAACTGGTGGGAGTCAAGAGTGGCCCCCAGGGCAGGGAGAGGAGCTGCCAGCCCAAGCTCCAGACCAGTGCGCCTCCCACCCACAGGGGAGGGGTTGAGGCTGTGTCAGACTTCTCCAAGATCCCACTGAAGTATGGCATGAGCTTCAGGGGATCCAGTGGTCCAGGAAGGCTTAGGGCTAAATTCCTGCTTCTCCCCAAGCAAACAGGATTGGGTGGTGCTTCAACCTGCATCCTCCTCTAACACCGCTCTGGGCCCCAAGAAGGCTGGCCCCTTCCCCCATCCCTCCACCCCATCATCCCGTCACCACCTCACCACCCTGTCACCTTAAGCATAGGAAAAAAACCCTGGGGGTAGCCTCAGCCCATAGGTATAGGAGCCTGCCCTCTCACCTTCCTTGGCCCAGGTACCGCACAGTGCTCAGACCCAAGTACAAGGTTGGCTACAAGACAGTGACAGACCTCACCTGGCGTTGCTGCCCTGGCCTCACTGGAAAAGGCTGCCCTGAGCACCTCACAGACCACGAGTCCACCCCACCTCAACTGGAGCCTGAATCCCAGATTCCCTCTGGGCAGCTGGACCCAGGCCCAGGCCACAGGCCCCCTCCTTACAGCAGAGCGGCCCCCAACCCCCATGGTGAGTCTGTCTGTGGAGACCCTCCAAGATGATCAGGTTTCCTGGGCTCAGTGGTAGGAGCAGGGAGGGGACTGACCTAGGCTGGCTGAGCTCTGGCAGGGCTGGGTAGGGTGCATCTTAGGTTGGTCATGATGGTGAACCTCCAGTCCCCCGCCCCAGCAAAGCTGAGGGTCTCAGATGACTTGGCAACATGACAAGCTGAGGGAGCCAGGCCAGTGATGCCCCTGGGGTTCTCTCCTCCTCTTTCCCAGGAAGGAAAGGCCCAGGGCTGTTTGGTGAGCGGCTGGAACGCCTGGAGGGTGATGTCCAGCGCCTGGCACAAGCGTATGGTACCCTCAGTGGTCTCATGGCCAGCCATGAGGACCCCAACAGGATGACTGATGGCCCCAGGGCTCCTGCCACCCCTGTGGGCTTCGGGGTCATCCCCGAGGGGTTTGTGGACCCGGGAGACGGAGCCCGAGGGCCACTCACACCTCCCCTGGATGAGATCCTGAGCAAAGTGACAGAGGTGAGCAACACTCTGCAGACCAAGGTGCAGCTGCTGGACGAGGTGCATGGATTGGCACTTGGCCATGAAGCCCACCTGCAGCGGCTGCGAGAAGCGCCGCCATCCCCACTTACCTCCCTGGCCCTGCTGGAAGAGTACGTGGACCGACGGCTGCACCAACTCTGGGGGAGCATGCTGGATGGCTTCGAGCAGAAGCTGCAAGGTGTCCAGAGTGAGTGTGACCTGCGGGTGCAGGAGGTGCGGCAGCAGTGTGAGGAGGGCCAGGCGGCCAGCCAGAGGCTGCACCAGAGCCTCGATGGCCGCGAGCTGGCCCTGCGCCGAGAGCTCTCACAGCTGGGCACCCAGCTGCAGGGCCTGGGCACAGCTGGTGGGGGCGGCTGCTGTGGCCAGCTGTCCTTAATCGGTGCCCGTGTAGACAGCCTCGAGAGGAACCTGCAGGCAGTCACGGAGGCCCACAGGGGCCCAGCCGCCCCAGCCGGGGAAGAGCTCTCGCAGCTCTCTGCTGCTATGCTCGAGGGAGGTGTGGATGGGTTGCTGGAAGGCCTGGAGACCCTCAATGGGACAGAGAGTGCAGCGAGGGGCTGCTGTCTGAGGCTGGAGATGGGAGGGTGGGGTGTGGGTGGCTTTGGGACTACGCTGGAGGAGCGTGTGCAGAGACTGGAGGGGCGCCTGGCAACCCTGGCAGGGGAGCTAAGCCACAACAGTGACCCATCGGGCAGGTCGGCGCGGCCCCTGGTGCAGACAGAACTGGCTGTACTGGAACAACGGCTGGTTTCACTGGAGACCTCGTGCACACCCAGCACCACCTCAGCCATCCTGGACAACCTCGTGGCAGAGGTGAAGGCCTGGCAGAGCCGGAGTGAGGCCCTCCTACGCCAGGTGGCCAGCCATGCAGCTCTGCTTCAGCAGCTCAATGGCACTGTGACCGAGGTCCAGGGGCAGCTGGCGGAAGGGACGGGCAGCTCACTCCAAGGTGAGATCACTCTGCTCAAGGTCAATCTGAACTCAGTGAGCAAGTCACTCATAGGTCTCAGCGACTCTGTCAGCCAGTACTCTGATGCCTTCTTGGCAGCCAACTCATCCCTGGATGAGCGGGAACGGAAGGTGGAAGCCGAAGTCCACGCCATCCAGGAGCAGGTGAGCAGCCAAGGCTCCAGGCTACGGGCCGGCCACAGGCAGGTCCTGAACCTGCGGGGGGAGCTGGAGCAGCTCAAGGCTGGTGTGGCTGATGTGGTTGGTGGGCTGAGCCACTGCCAGGACACAGCCCAGGAACTCCAGCACATAGTGGGCCACTTTGACCGTCGGGTGACACAACTGGAGGGCATGTGTGGGAGGCTGGGCCTGCTGGCCGCAGGCCTGGACAGCTTGCCCACTGAGCCACTTAGGCCCAGGGAGGGCTTGTGGGGCCACATGGACCAGTTGAATCGCACACTGGCCCAGCACACACAGGACATTGCCCGCCTGCGAAATGACCTGCTGGACTGCCAGCTGGCTGAGCGTGCACGGCCAGGGCAAGCTGACTAGGCAGGCTGGACAGGATCCAACCCCCAGGTCCCACTGACCCTGCAGATGTCACCCCAGAACTCAGCCTTATCCAGAAGTGCCTCCCAGCCTCCCCTGGCCAGCCCAGAGGCCACTGAAGGAATGGTCTTGGCCCAGCTCCATGTGACTGTCACAGCCACCAAAATCCATGCTCCGTGCTACACAAACTGGACATTTCAGGATAGCGGTCAAGACAAGGATGCCATGCCAAAGGCCAGGGTGGACTTAGCGACCTCACATTCCACTGTCTGTAAATCGCTCTTCTGCAGATATACCAGTCAGTAAAGACCTGCAGGCCCATTCTCAGACGGTGGCTTGTCCACGTCTCCCTTTGCTTATGGGCAATAGTCCACAGCCCTTGGAGGCTTCTGTTCCCTTGTCCCCTTGGCTTCATCCTCAGCCATCTGGGCTAGGTTTCTGCAGGAAGGTGATGCCCACTGGAATTGTCCTCCCACTTGGCAGCCTCACAGATGCTGTTTCTGAACCAAGGACCAGAGACTTCCAGAGGCTTCCAGCTCCACCCCCGTCCTTCAGGACAGAAGAGAAGCACAAGGACTCAGCAGAGAGTTCTCTTTATTCCTCTCATTCCTCCCTCAGGTGAGGGCTTAGGCAGCTGTAGAATCCAGGGGAAAGAACTGGATCCAGACAATCTGTTTGGAGACCCCACCCCAATTTATCCTTTTCCTTTCTATCTCCAAAGTTGGTTTCAGGGCACTCTGGTGCCCACAAGCTCCTTTTTTCCATTGTGGGGGAAATCTGTCCCCTGCCCCAGGTTAGGGCCTCTCTGCAGAGAGTAGCCCCAGTGTATATTGAGACTCGAATGAGGCCAGACCCCGAGAAGGAGGCCACAGCTGGAGGAAGAGGGGCCCAGGCCTTGCTTTTACACCCTTCCAAAGCCCCAGCCCTGCCAGGATGTTCATAGTGTGAGACATTCAGGAATGAAACCATCAAGGGACAATTTGAAAATGCCAGTGTTCCTCAGGCCTGTGCAATGCCAGAGACTGACACTCATCTCTGCTGAGCTTCCTGGCCTCAGTTTCCCCCACAGCAGCATAGGTCCTCCTGTGCTGTTCTGCAGGTCCCCACAACCCTTCCACCTGGTTTCTGGACATTTAATATTCTGTCCCCAATTTTGGTACTGTCGGAAGAGAGCAGGTTTTGGATTAAAGCTTTTAGCCAGTCTAAAGGTACTTTCTTCACCAAAGATGGTGGGAGGAAGGCTGCTGCAGGTACCAGCCCTGCCTCCCACAGCAGCTGTGAGCACTGGCCTGGCCAGCCGAGGTGGGGAGGGTAGTCAGGCCAGCCAGGGAAGATGCTGAGAGAAGCAGGGGGAAGTAGTAGGTGGGGGCTCAGCCAAGGGCAGCCACACTTCCTCAGTCCTTATGTGCCCCCAAATTTCCCTTCCCTGATGTTGGAGGGGCCCTGGAGCATCCAGGCTTGGGGCTGAGATACCAGGACCCCAGCGAGGGGAAGCAGTGAGGCCCGACATGAGGTCATGGGAGGGGCCAGGGCTACTAAAAGTCTGGTGTCGGAGTGAGCAGGAGCTGGGGGTGGGGAGCACTGTGCTCCTTCTGGATGCTACTCAGCTGCCCCCCACTGCCTCCGCTGACCCTCCCCTGCGCATACGGGCTCCAGCCTCAGTGGGCCCCTATCAGGAGTTGAGGCAAGGTCCCAGGGTGACAGGGACAGGGATGTCAAGGGCATAGAGAACCCTGCAAGGGTCCAGATGACAGACATTTAATCCCCACAGGCCAGAGCCATGCTGAAGCCTGGAGCAGCTGCCCTACCGCCTGCCACTCAGCTGGCAGAGGCAGGAGACAGGACAGGGAGGAGGGAGCATCTCGGGTGCCAATCCACCTGCAGCGCCCTCCTCCCCTCCAGTGGGTTGGCTCCTGTGGCACCTCTCTTCCAACCTCCTATGCCCTGGTCAACCCCAGTGCCCCAGTCAGTCCCGGGCCAGGCCAGGGAGGGGGACAGCCAGGGTGGGTTCAGGCCAGGGCGTCAAGGTCCACAGCGGGCAGTGGCTCCCGCCAGTAGCAGAAGTTGCTGTATTCAGGGTTGGCCAGGTCTGTGCTGGGGCCACGGGCCACAGGCGGGAAGAGGAGCTCGACCACTTCACTGAGCCGCTCGTACCTATGGGACAGATGGGCCAGCACTGAGCCTGAGCTGCCACCAGACCACAGCCTCTGCCATAGCAGGTGGAGGCGCCACATCCTGCCTGGACTCGCAGGTGGGGAGGTGCAATCAGGGCTCAGGGAGAGGTCGGGGCACGAGGACGTGGCAGAGAGTGTGGGGGACACGTGGCAGGGCATGGCCTCACGTAGACTTGTGGTTCTTCATGAGCTCTTGGACGAGCTCTCCCCGGGGGTTGACTGTGAAGATGTGAGATGCAGGCAGGCCCACTTGCTGGTAGGCGAAGACGTCCTGTAGAAGACAAGGAGGGACCAGTGGGACAGAGGCCGGCCAGGACCTGGGAAGGAGGGGGCTCACCCATGGGAAGGGAACACACTCACGTTGGGCCTGTTCCCAAAGGCAGCATAAAAGGGCTGTCTGTGGGGCAGGAACAGCTGCTGGATGTCACTCAGGCAGGCGATCTTGAACACCTCTGGCTTCTTCTCAATCACCTCTCTGGGGTGGACAGGGCCATAGGCAGGGAGGGAGGCCAAGAAGGGGTAGAAACCGGACAGGATGGCAGGGTCAGGTGACATAGGGTCTGGCTCAATCCCCCACTGACCCCAGCAGCTAATGCTGGCCTGGGCTGGGCTGGCAGTGGGCCTGCCCCGTGCCCAAAGGGCTTGTATGGTGGAGGGTGGTTACCTGTGGAGGGCGGAGAAGAGGCTGCTGGGAGACAGCAGGATGGGGCCCTTGGGGAGGCCACAGCCCCGCTCGCTCACCCACTGCAGGTATCCCTTGGTGAGGTCAGCCATGCCGATGGCCCGTGCTGAGCAGTACAAGAATTTGTACCCATTTCTAGGAGTAGGGGACAGGGTGGCATAGCGCGGTCAGAGACCAGCCACCCCCCATCCCGCCTGTTGCCTTCCACTGCCCAGCCCAACCTGGGGCTCTGGCCTTCAAACCCAGAGGCCTCTGCAGGGAAGGGACTTAGGGAGAACAGCTAGGCCAGGCCTAAGAGAGGTGGCCTTAGCAGCTGTCCCTGCACAAGGAGCATGGACAGAGTCCTGAGGCCTGGGTGGACCAGGATGCAGGAGGCCTTCCCCTCTAGCCTGAGGCCAGCAGGTGACTCAGATCCTGGGACACAGCCCTAGAGGATGAGTCTTACACAGAACTGAGGACCAGGAAGTAGGTCTCAGTGCTCCAGGGACCTGCCTGAGCTGTTTCCCTTGTGGGCCCTGCTGGTCCCCAAGATGTCCTGTCCTGTCACCCCCTCCCTCTAGCCTGGGGCCCCAACTCAGCCCCAGCACAGGCACTCACAGGTGGATTTTGTGGTAGAGACTGGTGATGCCCTGGTGCGTCCAGTCTTTCCCCAGCTGGGGCAGAATGTGACCCAGAGCATCCGACCTAGAACCAGAGGAAGGTTCTCTCTGAGGCAGCCCCACACAGCCCTCCTGTTCCATGGGTGTGGCCCCATGGGACACAGAGTGAGGCGAGTCCCAGGCCCTTCATCCCCTCCCCACAGCCAGTTGGGCCTCACTTGGTGATGGTGCCGTCGATGTCAGAGATGACCACCTTGTCGTCCCACTTCCACAGGTAGATGGTGGCCTTGCAGCGGCAGGTGCCCTGGTACTGGGTGGTCACACTGAAGACCACGTCATTGGCACCTTCTTGCAGGTTCAGATGCCGCTGGGCCAGGCAAAGGGCAGAGTGGAGGGAGAGACGGTGTGACGCGCTGCGGAAGGCGCTGTCCACCCCTCTCCACCCAAACTGTGGCACAGGCCTCTCAGTCTCTGCTTCCTCCCAACTCAAAGACCCTTCCTGAATGCATCAGTGGCAGCCACACACAGACACATCCGTGTGGCCAGAGGATCGGGGTCCTGCACAGTGCCAGGCACAGGAGCCTAACCTCCTCCACTCCCCTTTGAGATGAAACTCAGACAAAGCCGGGCCCGTTTCTCAGGTCAGCCCCAAGGCTGGGGCTGCTCTTGGCAGGGAGACACCCCACTCCATAGACGGAGGCCCCGCCTGGGGCTAGGATGCCTGACTCAACATCCCCCTAAAGAGAAACCCAGCCCTGTACTTGGTCCATAGAGAAGGAGCGGGGCAGCTGTCCATCAAAGCCAGGTGACCCAGGCTTCTGGCCTGGGCTGACCCTGAACTGGGTGTGAACCCTAGCATACCAGACAAATGGCAGCTGCTCTGTGCCAGGCTGCTCAGACCCTCCTAGACACTTCCCTGACCATGGGGCCATACTCAGGAAGAAAACACATTCTTATTACAAGAGACACCCGTTACTGAGCTCAGGGAACACACAATTCAGAGGTCTGGGGTTGCCAACTCTGAGGGGCTGTCAGCAGCATTTGATTCCTTTACTGGGGCTTCCAAGGGCAGACCCAGAGCTGGCCAGTTCACTCAGGTAGATATCTTAGGAGGACATAAGAGAGGATTTTTCCAGTTGGAACATCCAACAGAGACGTGGGCTGGCTTGTGAAGAAGAGAGCCTCCCACCCCCAGAGGTGTTCAAGCAGAGGCCGTCAGGAGGCTGCCACAGGGATGGATTCTGGCCTTTGATGAACTAGTGGCCCTGAGGGACTCCTGGACAGAATTAGCTCAGCCCCACCAGCTCCACACACATGTGCGTGCACATACTTACAATCTGATCGGAGGAGAGGCGGAGGGACTTCTTGTAGGTAGGAGTATAGGCCGGGATCGAGGGGGGTGGGGAGGGGACCTCAAGGATCACAGGGCTGTCTGGGGCATCGTCATCACTGCTCAGGACTTCTATCTTCTCCCTGTGGGCAGTGTTGGCTTTCAGGCCACCTACCCCAGCGAAAGGCCCTTTACTCCCAGTAAGTCTCACCCTCAGCCCAGGCCACAGGGAACCTGGGGCCTGTCCCTTCCTCTATGGAGGCTATCCAGGGTACCAGAGACCCCTCTCTCTAGATGCCACCGTGTGGGGTGGTGGCAAACACAGGAGTGCTGGCTGGCAGTCCCCACCTAGATGATAACAGCAGAGAGGGACTGACACCAGGGCTGAGAGCCCTCAGGACACCCTCCCCAGCCAGGATACCAGGTTCTGCCTTGGAGAGATGTACCTGAAATACCTATTAGTGCATTTTAGGGCTTATTCCCAATCCCACCTGCTTTGGCTTTAGTCAGCCCATCCTTGGTCACCCTCCACCCAACCTTGGGCATCTGGGTCACATCAAAGGTGACAAAAGGAAACAAAGTCAGCCGGCCCCTGTGGGCTGGGGAGAGAATGGCCTTGCCCCTCTTTAATATGGAAGCAGTGTGAGTGCTTGTTCCAGCTCTGCCATTTCCTGGCTGTGGGACATTTGGTGTGTCTTTAGGTCTCAGTTTTTCCATCTGTGAAATGCGGACATTTCTTAGGAAAAGAGGGATGTAGAAGTGCTTGGAGAGTGACAACCATGGCTGAGGAGGGGTGCTCACTCCACCCCCGCCCCCAGGGCATCCAAGGTCCAACTCACCCCTGCTGCTCCCTGGCTTCTGTTTTCTCCCTCTGGGCACTGCGCTGTGGAAAGAACAGCCATCTAGTGAACACTGCCTCCTGCCCTGTGCTGGCCCTAGCCCATGACCATGACTACCCACCTCCTCGGCTGGGAAGTCCCTGCGTCGCCAGGAAAACCACCATCGCCCACCCTTCCTTGGCATTTTCTCCTTCTCCAGCTTGTCCACGGTGCTCTGCGGATAGAGGAAAGCCATGGCATTTCTTCCTGCACCACACAAACCCACCTTACATTGCCCTCCGGGCCCTCCATGAGCCAACCCTAGAGTGAAGAGCTGTCAACACTGGGAGGCTGAGGAAGCGTCTCACCTCCACTCTGCGTTCCAAGCAAGAACTCATACAGCTACTCACGGGAGACCAAGGGCCATTCCTGCCCCCCAGCCATGACCCCTCAGCTCTAGCCCATCCTCGGCCTGGCCCCCAAATCTCGTGGCCTCCAAGTCCTCCCTTCACCTTCCAAGACCAACACAGGCAGCCTCCTAAGGTCGGTGATCCTCTCCCATAAGTATAGGTAACCTATGGGTTATCCTATCCCGCAACCTCCTCTGTATGTTACCACCACTGTTTGATTGGTGCAACATGACCTTGAGAAAATGCTGATCAGATCTGTGCTAGATAACCCCAGGGTGACACATCAGCACCCTACAGATGCAGAACGGAGAACCCAAGTCAGGAAGACATGGATCAGCCAGGGTGCCTACTTGAGCAGGGAACAGGCTGGGGTAGGGGTCTCTCGGGGCCTCAAGTGATGGGTCTGTCTGGGTAAGGTGAGGAGAACTAAGCGGGGGAATGACCCTCTTCCTTCCCACAGGTTCTGGGCCCCAGCTTCAGATCCTGAACCAGACAGAGGACAGAGCCAAGTATCACCAAATGGAGGTACCAGCTGTCAACATCTGGTTGGTGATGCTATTTGGGCAAGCCTAACCAGGCAATAGGCCGGGCCAGGGCCGGGCCCTGGATCACTTCCAGAGGTACAGAAAGCAGATGTAGGATGGCACAGGCTGATGCTGCCCAGGAGGGCACTGTCCTCCGAGAATGAAAGAGGTGGCCCAGGAGGACCAGGGTGGAGGTCCTGGGAGGGAATGAAGAGGCTGGGTTCATTGTCCCTGCCCTTGACCTGCTGAAGGCCCACTCACTCTTCCATCTGTGCCCAGTGGGCCCTTGCTCAGCAAACCCACCTGTGATAGGCTGTCAAAGCACCAGACCTCTCCTTTCCAGCACTCACAATTGAATTTTATATTAATCTGGTGAGTCTTTGACTAACTCCATCTTCCTATGAAGGGTGGGGACAGTTTCTGTTTAGTGCATGACTGTCCCCAGCCTGGGCCTGGCACATAGTAGGTGCTCAACAAATGTGTGCTGATAAGGGAGCAAACACCCGCAGCCCAGCCTGTGGGGGCGGAGAGGGTAAGGTAAAGGCTGGGACTTCCATCTCCCAAGCTCCATCTTTTAGACCCCAAAAGCTGTTGAAGGCAAGTCCTTGTTTAGGTGTCTGTGGGATGTTTATCTCCATCTGGTTTGTCCTGAGTTCCTTTGAAGAAAAGTCCAAATCCAGTAGGATTTAAGCATGGCCAAGAAGTCAGGGAAGGATGGGGCAAGGCTTCAGGGACCTCTGTCTCCCCTCCCAGAGTGGGTCTTGCGGACAGTTGGCCCCAAGCCCCCAGGCCCATCTCTGCCCACCCCCACATCCCTGTCAGGGGCCTCCCTACCCCAAGGCTATGGCCACTTTCCCCAGCTGGCCCAGTGATGTTCTAACCATTACCTTGGGCAAGTTTCTCTGGAAGGCTTGCAGGGAGAGGATCATGGGGGCAGCCACAGCCCAGTTATAGTGCCTGGAGAGGGAGAAGGGGGTGTCGGCTGCAGTAGCTGCAGGGTGGCAGGAGTGGGGCAACTCCCAGGCTGCAGCAGTCCCAGCTTGGTACTCACTTGTCATTGATTTTCACCACTAGGTTTGGGTCATCCAGGAGACCAGGGTTTTGGGTGAGGTCCTGATAGGAGATGATGTGCTGGTTGAATTTGTCTGGGCACAGAGGCAGAGAGTGGGGAGTGAGGCTGGCACGTCCCAAGTAACCCACTGCCCCAGCTCGTCCCACTCCCCATGCTCTACCACACACCTCCTGCCAGTTGGTTCTTTGACCTGGCAGGACTCCTCCCTACCTGTGGGCTTCACACCTGCTGTTCCCACCTGAGGAGTCACAGGGTAAGTCACAGCTCAGCACCAAGCATTTGCTTCATGGGGACTTGGGAATGCCCAGCCCCTGCTGGCAGACTGTGGCCTCCACAGGGTAGAGTGCAGGGAAATCCAGCCCCACACCTCGGCTGCCCCACCCTCGGGGGTCTTCCCTGCCCTCCCCTGTTCCCTGGGCTCAGCACCAATCCTCAGAATGGCTTGGGCCATGGTGGAACATACCCAGGGAAATGTCCCAGCTGTCAGAAAGTCCGCCACAGAGAGACAGTGCTATCGTATCCACTGTGTCTGGAGTGGGTTCTTGCACGTGTTCGGGGCTGGGGTCCACCAGAGGCTTCTGACTGCTGGGTTCACTCCACCTCCTAGCCCCCAACCCATAGTCACTGGTGGCAAAGGGGCCGAAAGTGACATGAATACAAGGAAGGTGGGAGGTGGGTCCCCACTCCTCCCAGGTCTTGGTAGTGGACCACTGGCCCCATGGGCCCCAATCTCAGGATATCCCAGCACCCAGAATCCAGGTACCTCTGGGGGAAGTAAAGGGCTGCATTCTCAGAGTCCAGGGAGGGCAAGTCATCCAGGTAGATGTCACTGGGGCCCAGGTGCTGGCTTCTCTTCAGGGAGCCTGAGGGCGGAGGAGAGGACACCCTTAGACCTAACATGTGCTCAGCAGTGTGAGCAGTGTGTGCCCTGGCCTTTGATAGGAATGTCCCATGGCTGCACTGTCCAATACGGCAGCTGCTAGCTACAAGTGGCTCTTGAGCACACTTAAAATGTGGTTAGTGAGGGCCGGCCCGGTGGCGCACTGGATAGTGCGCCGCTTGGGAAGCGCGGTGGCGCTCCCGTCCGAGGGTTCGGATCCCACGTACCGACCGGCTCCCGCTCACTGGCTGAGTGAGGCGCGGGAGCAACACCGAGGCTTGCGATCCCGTTGCCGGTCCCCGGTCCGGTACGGGGGCAACACTGAGGGTTGCGATCCGTTGCCGGACTCGGAAAAAAGACAAAAGACAAAAAAAAAAAAGAAAAAAAGAAAAAATGAGAAGGACTACATAATTGTTTTGAGAGAATTATTAATAAGAAGGGTGTTGCCAGTTCGAGGCTGGACTGGAAGTTGCTGGGCAGATGTCTTCACAGAAGTATTTTTTTTTATATAAGGTTGTGATGGCCTTTCTGCAAGATTGTGATTTTGCAAAGTCTTTTGTGATAGTTCTTGTTACAGGTACTCTGTTATAAGCAACAGAAATGGACTAACACATGGCTTAAGGAGAATCTAGGGGAGGCAGTGTACAGCAATGGTCAAAAGCAGGTATGGCTCTGGAGTACATCTGCGTGGGCTCCAGGGTTACCCAACTCCTCCGCCTATTGCTGTCTGACATTGGGAAAGTTACTTAATCCCTCTGAGTCACAAGGTCCTCATTTATAAAATGGGGATGATAATGATGCTTCCTAGATTTGTGGTGAGGCTTGTACAACTCTGCATATATACAAAATACTTCTGAGTTGTATGATTTAAATGGTGAATTTGTGGTATATGAACTATAGCTCAATAAAGCTACTATTAAAAAAGAGAGCTAGAGGGCCGGCCCAGTGGCGCACTCAGTAGAGTGCGGGGCTTGGGAGTGCGGTGGCCCTCCCGCCGAGGGTTCGGATCCCACGTACCGACCGGCTCCCGCTCACTGCCTGAGTGAGGCGCGGGAGCAACACCGAGGCTTGCGATCCCGGTGCCGGGCCCCCGGCC